ATTTTTCCAAATTCCACCCACACTCAAGGGGAGGGATTATATAAAGGTTATGCATCATTTTGATTTATTCATTTTTATTATTATTTTTAATCCTCACATGAGGATATTTTTCCATTGATTTTAAGAGAGAGTGGAAGAGAAAGGGAAAGACAGAGAGAAATATTGATATGAGAGAAATCAGCCAGGGCCCTATGCCTGTCTTTTTAAATAAAGTTTTAATGGAACATAGCCATGCCCATTTATATATTGCCTTGGATTGCTTTTGTGTATTTTTTAATATTTTTTTATTGATTTCAGAGAGACACCCCCACCCAGGGCCAGGTACGTGCCCTTGACCAGAATCAAACCCGCAACCCTTCAGTCTACAGGCCAACACTCTAACCACTGAGTGGAAACCAGCTAGGGTGGTAAATACCTTTTAAAGACTCAAAGGCAAATCACATAGGGACTGTGAATTATGGGTGAAAGTAACTGTAAAGGGTTAAGGGGCAAGTTAAAAATCTAAGAGGATTCTGACTTCAAATTAAATGTTCTTACAGTATTTTTCTTGCTCTATTCTAAAGAAACAAAAACAAGAAATTATAGATCAGGGTTAGCAAATTGGCCTGCTGCCCGTCTTTTTATTTATTCATTTTTATTATTATTTTTAATCCTCACATGAGGATATTTTTCCATTGATTTTAAGAGAGAGTGGAAGAGAAAGGGAAAGACAGAGAGAAATATTGATATGAGAGAAATCAGCCAGGGCCCTATGCCTGTCTTTTTAAATAAAGTTTTAATGGAACATAGCCATGCCCATTTATATATTGCCTTGGACAAATAAGGGAAGTGATCATTTTGATTTCAGAGAGGAAGAGAGAAGGAGAGAGAGAGGAACATCAGTTATGAGAGAAAATCATTGATTGGCTGCCTCTTGCATGCCCCACACTGGGGATCAAGCCAACAACCCAGACATGTGCCCTGACCAGGAATTGAACCGTGACCTCTAGTTCATAGGTCGATGCTCAGCCCCTGAGCCACACCAGGTTGCTTTTGTGCTTTAATGGTACAATTGAGGGCTTGCAACAGAGACCTGTAGTATTACAGGTCCACAATATCTAAAGTGTTTATCATCTCCCTTTACAGAAAAAGTTTGCCCACCATACTTTAGCTCATCACAGGTGTAGCTTATATAAGAAAGACAATATAGAACCTTCAGTCAACAGACAGGTAAAGAAAAGGTCTGTCATTAAAATATTGCCATACTTATATGTTTTGTTACATTAAAGTTGATGTGTAATTTTTCTTAATTCATGTTTTAATCAGCCCCCTTACTGTTCTTAATTATGGCAGCTAAAAGAGTTTCTACTGTATTTTAAGAGATATACATAAAAGTACTGCATTGCCATTTTTAGACAAGCCTAAGCAGTAGAAGCAGGGGAACCTAAAAAGATATGGAACTTATCTGCATAGAAGTAAATTTGAATATGAAAGTTGAATAATTTATGTAGTTGCCCTTAAAGTTATTTTCAGAAACATAGTTACTCTACAGCCTACTATCTTTCAGCAATGAAAGAATTACTATGTATAATGTGGGGGGCTATGCAAACTATTGCTACTATATTAGAAGACAACATTGATTTTTTTTTTTTGCTTGTGTGTTCTTTGAAGCAAAACAAACACTTAAACATTTGGTTAGGATATTTATAGTAAGCCTAATGGGATCTAGAAATTAGAGCATCAGCTGTAACTTAAGTAATTGAAGAAATACATATGCAGCATCTTAAAGCATAAAAAGATCCAATTAACATATCAAATAGTATTGTGGCTTTCATGGGCCATCATATGAGTTATTTTCAGAAAATATCTTAAAATAGCATAGCCAAATGGATAAAAGCATTTGTAATAGGATCTGCAAGGGAAACCATTAAGATTTTTTAAGTGAAGAGCTGTGTTTTGGTCTCCATTGAGCAACAAAGAGCTCTTTTGGGTGCTTAAGCATTTCTAAATCTCTATTCTTCATGCTCTGGAAACATTTTATATGAATTCCTTTTATATTAATTTCTAATCTAAACTCTTTAAAATATATTATTTTTCTGTAAAAAATATATTTTTATTGATTTCAGAAAGGAAGGGAGAGATAGAAACATCAATGATGAGAGAGAAGCATCAATCATCGGCTGCCTCCTGCATGCCCCACACGGGATCAAGTCCACAACCAGGGCCATGTGCCTGACCAGGAATCGAATGACCTTCTGGTTCATAGGTCCAAGTTCAACCACTGAGCCAAGCTGGCCAGGCTACTACCCTATTTTTGAGGTCACATCCTTTCTTCTCTCTTAATCTAGTTGATGTTGAACATCTCTAGTGTTTTACTGTAATTATATATATATTTTTACTGTAATTATATATATATATATATTTTACTGTAATTATATATATATATATTTTTTATTTCAGAGAGGAAGGGAGAGAGATAGAAACATCAAGAAGAGTCATTGATTGGCTGCCTCTTGCACACCTCCTACTGGGGATCGAACCGGCAACCCGGGCATGTGCTCTGACTGGGAATAAAACTGACCTCCTGGTTCATAGGTTGATGCTCAACCATTGAGCCATGCTGGCTGGGCTTCAATCTAAATTTTTAAATGAGAGAAGGAATCTAGATATTTGGGAGAATATTTAGATTAGATGTAAATCAGTGCATCATTTTTTATAAATTGACTTTTAGAAGGAGAGAAACATCAATATGAGAGAGAAAATATCAGTGTGAGAGAGAAACATCAATTGGCTGCCTCCTACACACCCCCTACCAGGGATCAGTGATTGAGCCAAGCCCACAACCCAGGCATGTGTCCTGACCCGGAATTGAACCAGCAACCCTTCAGTGGACGGGATAATGCCCAACCAACTGAGCCACACTGTCCAGGGCAGTCCATGATGTGATGAAAAGCAGCTTTATTGTTGGTTTTGATGAGGAAAACCATTTGGACTTCATCAGTGCCATATAGGATCCTCTGGAAATAAGCATGTGTACAGTTGTAATGCTTAATTGGAATGTGAAGAATAAGCAGATTGCAGTGATAGGTTCACAGAATTGAAGGTAGGACCAAAAGCTGGCCCTGGATCAAAACTGACCTTGGAGGAGTTCTGGCAGGAGATGGGGCTGAAATAGACACTAGATCAAGGAATGAATGAACATTTTAAGAGAGATGAAAATTGTGTGGCAAGACAAAATTCTTAGGGATTGTTCTGTTATTCTGAAATTGGCAAATTTGTAGGTGACAAGATTCTCTTTTTTTTTTGAAGATAGAAATCTGTGAGCTGCTGATCACATAAAACTTGAAAAATCTTTGTAAATTTATATATTTGGGTTCATTGGCAGTTGAGTTTATAATAGATAAAATTTTAAGGTAAATTATGAAAGATATGGTGAGCTTTCGCTATTTAAATCTTCTTTCTTATGGTTTGTTCATTAAAATCAAAACAAACAAAGAAAAAACAGTTCAGCCAGCTTTTCATTTCTCTCCTTCATTTACCTCCCTAACTGTGCCACATGCTTAACACTGCCTAAAAAGACTAGCTTTACAGTTAGAAAAATATTCCTTTAGGTAAACACTGTAGATAGACACTGGTATGCCAGTTTGCTTGGGTCTTTTCTCAGAATGATAAAACAATTTCAATGGAAAGAGTAGGGTAATATGAGTTTTGAATCCCTGGAAAACAATTTCCTTTCTTACCTGTTTTATTTTCATATTTTCCTTAACAAAAAGTTCAAATAATAGGATAAAGAACTCTGAATACCTGGTGATTTTATTTTTTTATAGGAAACTTTGATCCAAAAGCCATGAATAATTTTTATGACCACATACAACCTGGCCCAGTGGTACCACCCAAGCCATCTAAAAAAGGTGAGTAGGGAAATGTAAAAAACATCACAAAAATAAATATGAAAATTCTTTGTGAGTTCACATTTATAGCTGAAGAAATTTCCACTAGAGATACTCATTAATTTGTTCAGCAAAAAAACTTACCATATTGATGTTACTATGGCAATAGTAAAATGTCCCCCAAAGTTTAAAATTAATTAACTCCTGAAATTACTGTCAAAAGTAATTAAATGGGATATATATAATTTACTTTTTAAAATTGAAACTGTATTATATAGTTAAAATTTACTGTGAAAACTATAATCCTAAAAGATAATTCTTACAATATAATGAGAATTTTAAAGATCTTGTGTTAGAATGGAAAGTTTGATCTGCAGTTGATCTAAGGTTATTTCACAGGGGAGCATAACAGTTAGATCCTATATAAATCCTAGATTTAGAGAAATCACTTTTGAATAATTGTTCATTCATTCCCATATAATATCAAAGGTATCAAATCTCTTATTTTTGTGTACCAAATGTTTACTTGACATTCCAGTTATCTTAAAAATGGATTTGAATTAAATTTAAATGTCATTAAATTTAAACCCTTTCTGCCCAATTCTTACTAATAACCCATGTTATTTTATAAATATAATTCATAAGACTGAGATAAAGTATGCATTTGAGAGCATAATCCTTAAGGCTTTAAGCAACTTAAAAAGATTGCTCATGAAGACATATACATGTAATAGTGATGAATGTCTTACTTAAAAAAAATTACCTGAGTATAACATTTTAAAATATCATCAGAATTAATACTTAAAAAGTTACCTAAGAGTATATTTTAAAATATCATCAGAATTATTAATCAGGGGATGTATAAATTCTCCCTAAATAATTTTACCTGAGCTAAATTACTTAAATTTTGGTTAAACAACTTTCTATGTGTTTTAAGTATTTCATTTATAGGTTGCAACACAATACCTGTTTTTCTTTTTATTGTTTAATGAGAGGCCTGGTGCACAAAAATTTGTGCACTCAGGCAGGAGGGGTCCCTCAGCTCAGCCCGTGCCCTCTCACAGTCTGGGACCCCACAGGGGATGTCCACCTGCTGGCTTAGGCCTGCTCCCTGGGGGGATTTGGCCTAAGCTGGCAGTCAGGCATACCTCTGGCAGCCCGGGAGCCCTCGGGGGATGTCCCTTTGACAGCAGGGAGCAGGACTAAGCTGCAGTCGGACATCCTTAGCACTGCTGCCAGGCTGTGTACTGGCAGCAGTCAGCCTGGCTTGTGGCTGAGCAGAGCTCCCTCTGTGGGAGTGCACTGACCACCGCGGGCAGCTCCTGAATTGAGTGTCTGCCCCCTGTTGGTCAGTGTGTGTCATAGTGACCAGTCATTCCCAGTCGTTCTGCTGTTAGGGTCAGTTTGCATATTACCCTTTTATTATATAGGATAGAGGCCTGGTGCATGGGTGGGGGCTGGCTGGTTTGCCCTGAAGGGGGTCCCAGATCAGGTTGGGGGTCCCGCTGGGGTGCCTGGCCAGTCTGGGTAAGGGGATAATGGCTGTTTGCAGGCTGGCCAAGCCCCCAGCGGGGACCCTCACCCCATGATGGGGTGACCATCCTGGGTGAGGGGCTGATGGCTGTTTGCAGGCTGGCCACAGCCCCCAGCCACCCAAGCTCCCAGTGGAGGCTGGCTGGAAGCAGGTATCTGGGATTTATTTATCTTCTATAATTGAAACTTTGTTGCCATGAGTGGAGGCCACAGCAGGCCAGGCCAGGTGGGAACCTTGGCTTCCTCCATCACCGGGGCAACCAAGCCTCCTGCTTGCTCCAGCTCCGTGGCTGCCAGCCACCATCTTGGTTGGGTTAATTTGCATATAGTCACTCTGCTTGGCTGGTGGGCATGGCTTGGGGCATAGCGGAAGTGTGGTCAATTTGCATGTTTCTCTTTTGTTAGATTAGATACTGCCATTACTGTTTCATCTCATCTGCTTTTTAAATAGCATGCTAATTTCTAAAAATGGCACAAAGAAGAATCTTAGTGGATGACTTCCCAGTACCAGATATGGCACTGTGGCAACATTATATACAGCTTCAAGTTGAAAGTCACTGGGTTATATATCATTGATCATTTTAACCATTTGGTATAATATGTTATTTATCCAAATGGTTAAATAACACTTGAGTTTGTGCTAATGTCTACAAAGGAAGCATTACTTAATGGTAATGCAACAGATAAACTTTAATTGATTCAAGGGTTGTCATGGAGGAATCCCTTATTTAAGGGAGTACATTAAAAAGTTGTTACCTGAGCCCTGGCTGTTGTGGCTCAGTTGGTTGGGCATTGTCCTGTGCCCCAAAAAGTTGCTGGTTCAGCCAAGGCAGTGTTGCTCAGTGGTTGAGCATCAATCTATGAACCAGAAGGTCACAGTTCAATTCCCGGCCAGGGTGCATGCCTGGGTTGGGGGTTTGATCCCCAGTGTGGGGTGTGCAAGTGTCAGCCGATCAATGATTCTCTCTCATCATTGATGTTTCTATATTTCTCTCCATCTCCCTTCCTCTCTGGTATAAAAATATTTTAAAAAAAAAATAAAAAAAGATTGCCGGTTTAATTCCTGGTCAGGGCACATGCCCAGGTTGTAGGATTCGATCCCTGGTAGGGGATGTACAGGAGGTAGCCAATCAACTCTCACATAGATGTTTCCCCCTCTCCCTCTCCCTGCCTCTCTCAAAAATATAAATTAAAAAACCTTTAAAGAAAAGTTGTTACCTGGCAACAGAGGACCAAATTGGTAAGAAATGGTGGACAATATGTCCACCTTGAGCCACCTCATTAGCATAAACTCTCAGGTATGGTCTGAAGGTCCCACCATAAATAGCAAAGACACTTCTATCACTTGGGAAACTTCAAGATTTTAGAGGTTATATCCCAGGAGCTGGGGCTAAAGCTAGACTTCTCTTTGGGCAAGGTCAAATTCACAACACTTAAAGCAGTGCTTAGAAGGACATTTATAGCTTTAAATGCTAGTATAAAGCAAGAAGATCTAAAATCAGTGACCTAATATTCCACCTTAAAAGAAGAAAGAAAAATAAGAATAGTCAATGAGATAGAAAACAGATAAAGCCAAAAGTTTGATCTCTCAAAGATAAAAATCAATAAGCTCTAAAGTCAACTTATTAAAAAAGAGAACACAAATAAGGGAATGTGATGACCATTTTTATGCCAATAAATGCAACACCTTAGATGGAATTGACACATTCGTTGGAAAATATAACCTACAAAACTTAAAACAAGATGAAATAGGAAATATTAATAGCTTTATGTCTATGAGAAATTAAATCTATTATCAAAAAAATTTCCCACAAAGAAAAATCCAGACTATCAAACATCAAAGGAAGATATAATACCAGTCTTACACAAACTCTTTGAGAAAATATAGGGAAAAGGAAACTTCCCTCTTTTTTAAATGGAGCCAGCAGAACCCTGATGCCAAAACCCACTAAAGACATTACCTAGCCACTCCCCCCTAAAGAAAACAAAATTATAGATCAATACCACTCATGGACATAAAAGCAAAAAATCTTTCATAACATATTTACAATTTATAAAAAAGATGATGCATCATGACCTCATTGGGTTTAGCTCAGAAATACAATATTAAAATAAAGGAGAAATATCCACAATACATATATGTGATAAAGAATTGGTATCAAGCTGAAACCGGTTTGGCTCAGTGGATAGAGCGTCGGCCTGCGGAGCGAAGGGTCCCAGGTTCAATTCCAGTCAAGGGCATGTACCTGGGTTGCAGGCACATCCCCAGTAGGAGATGTGCAGGAGGCAGCTGATCGATGTCTCTCATCGATGTTTCTAACTCTCTCTCTCTCTCCCTTCCTCTCTGTAAAAAATCAATAAAATATATTTAAAAAAAGAATTGGTATCAAGAGTATAAAAAAGAAGGTAAAACATTTGAGCAGACACTTCACAAAGGAATCTTCTATATATATAAATGCCTAAGCTACTGATAGACCAGTCGCAATGACATGCACTGACCACCAGGGGGCAGATGCCCCGACCGCTAGGTTAGCTTGCTGCTGGGATCCAGCAGATTGGGACTGAGCGAGATGGGCTGGACACACCCTGGAGCCCTCCTGTGGTTCCTCCCTGGCTGGCCAACCTCCCACATCCCTCCTTCATGCATCAGTGGGGTCCCTTGGCCTAGCCTGTGCCTCTCACCATCCAGGACCCCTCGGGGGATGTTGGAGAGCCAGTTTCGGCCCTGATCGCAGGCCAGGACTAGGGACTGTACCCCTGCACGAATTTCGTGCTCTGGGCCTCTAATATATGTATATACACACACACACACACACATATATATATATATACACACACACATTATATATATATCCAATAAGCGCATGAAAATGCTCAACCTGAGTAGACATTAGGGAGACACAAATTAAAATCTTGAGATACCACCTTACACCCACCAGAATGGCTAAAATCCCAAATTTTGGAAAACAGGCTATTTCCTGTAAAACCATTCACCTGCCCTATAGCCCATCAACAATTCTATGTCTAAAGATTTATCCAAGAGAATCTAAAATGTGTGTCTACAAATGACTTGTTTTTTAGACGATTCATACCATTTTTTTTTTCTTTTTGGTGCCGTGACTCGGATTTGAAGATTCATACCATTTTTATTCACAACAACCCAAAACTAGAAATAGCCCAAGTATCCATCAAAATGTGAATGGATAAACACTGATATAATCATGCCATGGAATAATACTAAGCAAAAAAAACTGAATTACTGATACATAAATCTCAACAATATAATGCTGAATGAAAGAAATCAAATCCAAAAGAATATATAGTATATAATTCTGTTTATATGAAATTCAGGATAGAAAAAGCTGAATTTAAGATAAATATATCTCAGAACTGTGGTTATCTCTGGAAACTGGGTTTGAGGAATAACTGAGAAAAGATATGGGTAGATTTTTCTGAACTCGTGGTAGTGTTCTAAATCTTGGTGGGAATTTGGATTATTCAGGTGCATTTGTTAAAATTCATCAAATGGTACACTTAAGGTTTCTGTATTTCACTGTACACATTTTACCTCAAAAATTCACAAAGAAATAAAAGGAAAATTTCTTAGAGGTAAGAAGCCAGTATACTCAGAGTTTTCTACCAGTGGTGACAGAATTTTTGCAGATGTCATTTGGCCTCTGTCTTTGAGACCAACACCATGTATTTGAGGTGGGAGGTTCCTGTTTGGTATACTTTTCAGCTGGGAATTGTGCAAGGATTGCATTAATATTCCGTTAATATCAAGCTTCATCTAGCTCCCTACAAGTACATTCACACTAAAAAGGCTCTTTTCTATGGTACTTTTAATTCTAACAAAATTTGCTACAACTGATATTGGATAGTCCCTTAGAGTTAGTTGTAATGGAATTCCAATTACAGTCATTTTCTTAAATACATAGATGGATTATGTAGATAGCTGCTTGATGCTACAAAGGTAAGACGTAATTCCTATCCCAAGTGGCTTGTACTCTACATATACAGTTTTAATAAAAATTAGACTAGAAAGCCCTCTAAAGTAACATCTTTACTGTAAATGGATCTCTACTTTAGAAATGTAATTGAGCTTTAATTATATAACATTTATTTTATTGTTTAAAGTATTACATATGTCTCCTTTTCCCCCTGAGACTGTTGGTGAGAGTATAAAATGATGCTGTTATATATCCTGGAGTTTTTAAACTTTTCACCTTTTTCTATTAAAGTTTCTAAATAGAACTTGATTAAATTCTATAATTCTTTAGGAAGCGTTTTCATAACAGATTTATAAAAGCTATTTGGTTTTTCTCTATGAAGTCAAATTTGTTTTATTTTAAACACATAGAGTCTTTTTTCTAAAACTAAATTTACCTAGATTGATGAAAATTTTGTCTACCATTTAAATTTAAAAAGCAAGTAAAATGTGAATAACATGTAGAATTGTTTTATTAGTTAGAATAAATGTATTGGAGTTATTATAGTTACATATTAGAAATCCAAGTGGAATATAGACATTTATCTGATTATCTGAATAAGTGTGATAACTGAAGAGAGAGAATGAGAGATAGAAAGGGAGACAGAAATTTGCACTGGATTTTGTAGTTAAACAGTGCCGTGTGCATATGAGCTCCTCAGCTGATTCAGGAAGCCCCACTACCCCCACCCTGTCATTGGTAACTCACAGTGGTAAGAGCACTGACCTTGGTGTCCCATGATTTGAGTGCTGTTCCTGGTTGTCTTGGCCACCTGACCTTGTTCTGATCCAGTCTGTGCACCAGAGAGGCGATCAGTGCTGTAAAATACATAAGCCAAGTAAGGGTCAGTAAGAAGGAGGCATGTGATGCTATTAAGTACTTTACAAATCTAAGAAGTGGAACTTGACCTTAGTCTTTGGAGCCTGAGGAGAAATTTACTCTGCTTTTGTTCATGCTGATAATGGAGTGCTTTAGTGCCTAAGCAACACACTTAGGATTCTGGAGCACTGATTCCCAAGTGGATTGTACTAGGGCAGTGGTCTGCAAACTCATTAGTCAACAGAGCCAAATATCAACAGTACTTCTTCAAAATAGACTTTCCCAGGCCGAAAATTGACTTCTGCACATGGGCCATGAAGTTTCAGTTGCACTGTACGTGTGTGCCTGCACGTGGTATTTTGTGGAAGAGCCACACTCAAGGAGCCAAAGAGCTGCGTGTGGCTCGCGAGCCGCTGTTTGCCGACCACTGTAATACTAGGTGAACTGCCTATGGGCTAAGAATGGATTAGAAAATGCAAGATATTTTTTCGGTTCTTAGGGGCAAATATTATGAAGTTTGCCATTTCTTGTTTTTAATTATTACAAAGGACTACTTACTGATAAACTATAAATTGATAGATACAGTATTCTAATACAAAATTAGAATGCCTGACGTCCATTATTGGAAAGTATCTGCTGGACTTTTGAACATGTAGGTATTTAGAATTTATGAAATGACTGAGGAGCATTTATTGTCAGTACATAGTATTATTCTGAATTGGTTCTGATTTTTCAAGTACTGCTATTTTATATATATATATTCTATTTAATATATATATGTATGTATTTATTTCAAAAAGGAAGGGAGAGGGAAATAGAAACATCAATGATGAGAGAGAATCATTGAATGGCTGCGTCCTGCATGCCCCACACTGGGGATCGAGCCCGCAACCCAGGCATGTGCCCTGACCGGGAATCGAACCGTGACCTCCTGGTTCATAGGTCTGCACCCAACCACTGAGCCATGCCAGCAGGGCTCAAGTACTGCTATTATTTTTCTTTTGGGGTTGTTAATCCTTACCAGAGGATGTTTTTTCCATTGCTTTTTCAGAGAGAGTAAAAGGGTGGAGGGAAGGGAAAGGGGAGGAGAGAGAGGGAGAAACATCTCTGTGAGAGAGACACATCGATTGGTTTCCTCCCTCATGTGCCCTTGACCAGGAATCAAACTCACAACCCTTTGGTTCAAGGGCCGATACTATAACCACTGGCCACACCAGCCAGGGCAGAACTGCTTGTTCCTTAATTATAAAATGCTGTAGTTATTATTTTAACTGATTCTTTGGTTAGTTAGCCTTACATGGGAAGTTTATCTTCAACCCATAATTTTCCAATAACTAGTTCTTAATCAGGGATTTGCTAAAGTATAATATCTCAAATTTTGCTTTCACTTTGACATTTCATTACTGATTTTGTAACCCTAAACAACCAGCAAGTGGGAAACTGTTGAAAGAAGGCATGTACTCCATATAATTGGAGAGGATAGAAAAAGTCATAAAAGCCACTGCTTTGTATAGGCTGTAATAGCAGTATTAAATATGGCACTTGTCCTCACAGGGAAATTAAAGGTAACATGAGGTAGTAGAAGGGGTAAGCACTCAACTGTGCATATCCTGTGAGAGATATTTGTGCGCCCAACAATACTTCTAAATGAATGGCTTGATCCCTTCTAAGTGACTTCACTTTGTCTCATGCAGACTCATCAGACCCTTGCACAGTTGAGAGGAAAGCCCGAAGAATTAGTGTGACCTCCAAAGTACAGGCGGATGTCCATGACACCCAGGCAGCAGCTGCAGGTGGTTTGTACTTGTGTGTCTAGCATTTGTGCAAAATGTCCAAAGACACGTGTTAACCCATGTAGAGCTATCATAAGTAAAGACCAACTTTTTTTTGCTTTAAAAAATTACTCTCTCTACTGAGTTTCTAAAGTGGTGCTGTCCAATAGAAATGTTAGCTTTCTACATTAATTTAAAACATTCTAGTAAACATTTAAAAACTAAACAAGTAATATTAGTATATTTTTAATCTATATACAAGGTGTTATCATTTGAATATGAAATCAGTATAAATTATTATGAGATATTTTACATCTTTTAAAGATTTTTTTTTTTAAATCCTCATCCGAGGATATTTTTACCATTGATCTTCTTCAAAATATATTTTTTATTGATTTCAGAGAGGAAGGGAGAGGGAGAGAGAGATATAAATCAATGATGAGCTGCCTCACACATTTGTAATACCTTAACTAATAATAACTCCTGTACATGCCCTGAATAGGGTTCAAATGCATGGGATAGGACGATGCTCCAGCCAACTGAACCACACCAGCCAAGGCAACATTTTTTTATTTCATATTAAATCTTCCAAATCTGGTGTAAATTTTACACTTGCAGAGCATCTCAATTCAGAGTGGCCACATTTCAAGTGGCTATCGCATTGGACAGATTGCTCTGATAATTATGTCTAGAAAGCAAGGCGAAGGAGAAGGAATCAAGATGGTGGCATAGATAAAAGCAGTACTCGCTGCCTCCCACAACCACATCAGAATTACAACTAAAATACTGGATATCATTTAGAACTACCTGAAATCTGGCTGAATGGAAGTCTTACAACTAGAGAAGTAAAGAAGAAACCACATTGAGACTGGGAGGAGGGGCAGAGGCGCAGAACAGACTAATCCAACACCCTCATGTGGCATGTTTTAAATTGGGAGTGATATCAAGGCTGTGCGGTCTCCTGTGAGAAGCAAGGGGTCCCAGCCACATACCAGAATGGTCAGCCCAGGGTTCCAGTGCCAGGAAGAGAAGTCCCCGTACTTTAGGCTGTAAAAATCAGCAGAGATTGTGGCTGAGTGACACGGAGGCTGGTGGATACCTAGGCAGTCCCTCTTAAAAAGGCCAGCACATGAACTTACTCAGACAATACCTCTGGGCTCCAGCCCTGGGGCAGTGGCTTTAGGGGATCCAGGGACATATGGGGAGGAACTGGAATGTCTGGCATTAGGGCAGGGATTCTGGGGTGGCTTCCTTCCAGATGGGGGTGTTCACAGGGGTCAATGATCCTGTGCTGGGACCTCCCCATCACAGAGCTGACTGGCAGCCATATCTGAGTTTCTATTAGCATGGTTCACTCAGCCCTGGTGACTCCCTGAGGCCCCACCCCATCCAATTTGCAGCCCAACTCAAGCTGTTTGCAGCAGCTTTTCCATATGAATGGTCTTTACTGGTTCACGTTTCAGACATTTCTAAAATTTCTCAAACAAGCAGCAGCTGGCATCAGTGTACCCCATACCTATCAATAAGAGGGCCAAGACCCGGCACTATCACCAGCCTGTGTACCTTCATAGCTTGTCCTTGCCTGAGCACTTCCAAGCCCAACACAAGTAGAAGCCATCTGCAGATCGCTCTGTAGCTCCTGCTTGGTGGCCCCATGCAGTGTTTGACCTTGCAACTCCCAGGAAGCCCCAAAGCCAATGCACCTGGTGGACAGCTTCAGACCATGCCAAATTACAATTCTACAAATCCATAAGCAACACTCAAAGGGAAGACTCAGTAAGCACCAAAGCCCCACTGAAACAAGTCCTGCTCCATAGGAATGTCTCTTGCTCAGCAGTTCTCCCACTGTAGTTGCAGCTAGTCCTCACAGCCAATTGGCCTAGAGGTCAGTTCTTCTCAGTGACTCCAATAGCAACCAAGGCTCAACTAAAACAAGACTATGCACAAACCCACACAGGGGCTCACCTAGAGTGCCCAGCTCAGGTGACTGGGAAGGCTGAGCCACTGGGCCCTATAGGACACCTACTACACAAGGCCACTTTACCAATTCCAGGAGACATAGGTGCTCCACCTAATACATAGAAACAAACACAGGGAATAAGACAGAAGGTGGAGACAAAGAGACACGTTACCAATGAAGGAACAGAAGAAATCTCCAGAAAATAACCCAATGAAATGGAAGCAAACAAACTACTAGATACAAAGTTTAAAACAGTGGTTATTAGGATGCTCAAGGATCTTAATGAGAGTTTCAGGGTCTTAGTGAGATTTTCAAGGATATTATTGAGAATTTCAAAGACATGAAAAAGGACCAGTCAGAAATTAAGCATACATTAACTGAAATAAAGAATAATTTACAGGGACTCAACAAAGGAATAGAGTATTCCAAGAATCAAATCAACGCTTTGGAATATGAGGAAGCAAAAAACACCCAAACAGAAGAGCAAAAAGAAAAAAAAACACACCCAGAAATATGAAGATAGTGTATGGAGCCTCTGGGACAACTTCAAGCATACCAACATTCTCATTATGGGGGTGACAGAAGGAGAAGAGAAAAAGCAAGATATTGAAAACCTATTTGAAGAAATAATGGCGCAAAACTTCCCCTACCTGGTGAAAGAAATAGACTTACAAGTGCAGGAAGCTCAGAGTCCCCTTAAAAACAGCAAGAGAAAAACAGTTACCTCCAAGGGAGTACCCATACAACTGTCAGCTGATTCTCAACAGAAACTATGCAGGCCAGAAGGGAGTGGCAAGAAATATTCAAAGTGATGAATAGCAAGGACCTACAAGCAAGATTACCTAGAAAAGCTATCATTTAGAATTGAAGGTCATATAAATGACCTTCACAGACAAGAAAAAGCTAAGAGTTCATCAACTCCAAACCAGTACTACATGAAATGTTGAAAGTATTCTTTAAGAAGAGAAAGAAGATGAAGAAGAAAAAAGATAAAAATATGAATAAAATGGCATAAAATACATATCTACCAATAATTGAATGTAAAAAAATCAAATGAACAAGGAATCTAATGAACAAAATAAACTGATTAATAAAATAAAACCAGAGGCATGGAAACATAGAACAGACTGAGGAATCTCAGAGGGAAGGGGGGAGGGGACGGAAAGAGATTAACCAAAGAATTTGTATGCATATATGCATTACCTATGGACACAGACAATAGGGTGGTGAAGGCCTGGGGCAGGGCAGAAACTGAGTGGAGGAGGGCAATGTGTAGGGGGGTGATATTTGTAAAATTCTCAAAAATAAAGATTTTTTTTTAAATGAAAGCAATGCCAAGTAAATGTAACCTGAAAGCTCTGGACTTTATAAATTCTCACTGAGCATTTAAATGCTTCTTGAACTATATCCTGGGATTCAGTGAAAATAAGGTTTCTAAAAATATTGTACATATTGGGTTTGTACAAGTATTCTACTTGATATTATATTAACTAGATGGAAAGATCCCAACCTAAGAACAAACCAAGCATGAAACTGTATTACACTTCATATAGTTAAAAGAAATAAACTTGTCTTTCTTTATCATTGGCATATTTCCCATTTTGGAAAAATATCAGCTATTTTTGAAACTGTAGAAAATACTTAGAATTTTTGAAAAGTTTATTTGCATCCTTTTGAGCATTTTTATCTTCTGTGTGCTAATTATGTAATATAAACAGTATTAAATTGATGTGATATTTATGAGGATGGTCATTTTGTGGAAATGTATCCTATTAAAGGAAACACCTATTTATTTCCGTTTTATTATGTATAAACATATTAGTTTTTATTTTCCATGAGGTCTGAACTATCTTAACTTGTAAACTGTTCCATAAAAAGCTGTACGTTTCTGTAAGTCATATGAAAATAGACATCTAAAATGTATTTTGTGTTTTAGATGCTTCTATTTCAACACTACTTCCTTATGATGAAATGAGCAGTGTCTTTTTTTTTTTTTAGCAGTATCTTTTTTAGGACCAACAATAATTCTAAATTAGGTGCCTTTTAGCCCTGGCCGCATGTCTCCATAGTTAGAGCATCAACTCTGTGCACCAGGGGGTCACAGGTTTAATTCCTGGTCAAGGGCATGTACCTGGGGTTGCAGGTGGGATTCCCACAGGGAGATAACCAATGGATATGTCTCCTAAAATCAATTGAAAAAATATCCTCACTCCTTGGGTGAGGATCAAAAAAAATTATAAATTAGGTGCCTTTTAAATATATTTGTTGAGAAGTTATTTCAGAGAGAGATACAGCAATTGGTTGCCTCCGCATGCACCCCAACCAGGGCCGGGGATCGAGCCTGTAACCAAGGTATGTGCCCTTGACTGGAATCGAACCCACGACCCTGAGTCCATGGGCTGACGCTCTATCCACTGAGCCAAATGTGCTAGGGCAAGCCCATCTTTTTATAGTCTCAGGAATAGGTTAGAGAACCCAATGATTCTATTGTAAGGCTAAGATCACCTCCTGATTGAGCCTGAGCCTTAAGCTTGCAGTAAGGTTCAGGGGTCTAACACCCAATTTTCTTTATCTCTAGAGTCTAGGGAAATGTTCACACCAGCATTTGTCATTAAAGACAAATGGGTAAACCACAGTCAGCTCATTCACTTTCAAGAGAAGATAAACTTAACCCAGAATGGTAATTAATTAAAACTTTACCAGGTCTCTGTTTCTTTTACCTGCTTAGGAAGGCTGCTTACCTTAGATTATAACGTCATCTCCAGTTCACAGAGAGGATTTTCCAGTGTTTTATGGTGCATTTTCAAAGCCTTCTGACCCTGCTCTAGATTCCAGAGTGAATTCCATCCAGAGATCTTTAGCCTCTAGTTATTGACCCCCATTTTCAGAAGGGACTGTTCCTAAAAGGCAGGATTTACAAATTAACTCTAGAAGCCTTTTGAGCACAAGGCCAGAGAGAATGAGGACTTAGGAAGAGTATGTTAAGTTTCAAGGTTCTTTTTGTTTTGTTTTTATCTTTTAAAGAGAGAGAAACAACAATTTGTTGTTTCACCCATGTATTCATTCATTGGTTGTTTCTTGTATGTGCCCTGACCAGGGTTTGAACCCACAACCTTGGTGTATCAGGTCCACATTCTAACTGAACTACCCAGCCAAGACTTAGTTTAAAGGTTTTTAAAAATAAAATCCGAAGGACTAACAAAGTTGCCAGCATTTTATATTGCCTACACATAGACATTTAAAAAAAACTAATAGGTAGGAAAGAATCCTATATAATAAAAGCCTAATATGCTAATGATATGCTAAGGCTGCTTAGCCGCTTGCTGTGACGTGCACTGACCACCAGGGGGCAGATGCTCCGACTGGTAGGTTGGCTTGCTGCTGGGGTCCGGCTGATTGGGACTGAGCGAGATGGGCCGGACATGCCCTGGAGCCCTCACGGGTCCCTCCCTGCCTGGCCAACCTACCACATCCCTCCATGGCCCTAATTGTGCACCAGTGGGATCCTTCAGCCTGGCCTGCGCCCTCTCATAATGTGGCCTGGGACCCCTTGGGGCAGTGGTTCTCAACCTTCCTAATGCAGGCAACCCCCACAGATTGAGAACCGCTGCCTTGGGGGATGTAGGAGGGCCAGTTTCAGCCAGATCCTGCAGGCCAGGCCGAGGGACCCCACTGGTGCATGAATTCATGCACGGGGCCTCTAGTCTGAGAATAAAAAGATAATTGTTTATATTAAATGAATTTAGCTTATGAAAAAGTAACTGTAGGGGCTTTATCTTTCTCTTTTTACCATTCTGGGGGAAACTTTGTTATGAACTCTTACTGCCATTTATGAACCATCATTATTAAACACATGCATATTGTGAAACTGATGGTCTAAAAGAAGTTGCACATTTAATCAGATGTTTAATGTAGTGTGGCTAGTATGAGGGGGTGACACATAGGACTGAAGATGGCAGGAGGAAGCAGAATTAATTTTTTAAATATCTTTTTTATTGATTTTGTAGGAAGGGAGAGGGAGAGGTAGAAACATCAATGATGAGAGAAAATCATTGATTGGCTAGAGATCAAGCCAGCAACCCAGGCATGTGCCCTGACCTGAATTGAACCACAATCTTCTGGTTCATGGGTCGACGCTCAACCACTGAGCTGTACTGGCTGGTCATAGAATTATTTTTAACATGCTATATAACATCTCATTTTTTTCATTTGGCTGGAATAACTACTGTCTGTGGATAATGAGCTTGTTAACCACTCTCCATGGATAATAAGCTTGGAAGGTAATCTATGCTAGACTTGTTTTTGTTTGTTTTTTATTTCAGTTTGGATTATACTTGGGGGGAAAAAAAATCAATCTCTTTTCTCTCTTTCCATTCTAACTTCCCTCAGAGCATCTACCTGGCTCCAAGCACAATCCTCAGACACAGCCCCGAGATGAAGACTATGAAGGGGCCCCATGGAATTGTGACAGCTGTACGTTTCTGAACCACCCAGCACTAAATCGCTGTGAGCAATGTGAGATGCCCCGATACACCTGAGTTCAGAAGAGTCTGCACCAGGTTGACAGTGAAGCTGAGCGCCCATTAGAAGAAAAGGAAACCGCGGGGATCTTCATCTGTCCAGCCTTTTCATTTCAGATTCCATAGGGGGCGGAGGAATGCACTGTAGTTGCCTGTGCTCACTACAGGAAAAATGGGGAAGGTTTTTTTCCCTTCTTAACTCATTACAGAGTGAGAGACAGAAAGGGATACTTGAAACTGGGAAAGGATTCTCTCCTGAAAGAATGTACACAGAGAAGTCAAGAGCTCTTCTGTGGGATCCAGTTGTTGAAGTTACTGCTGAGTGGCCCTTATTTTATAAACTAGAACTTGGAATCATAGTGTGACATATTACAGTTTATGCAGACAAGCTGTGAATCCCCATAGCAGACTTACCTGGTCACAGCTCTCTGAAAAACAAAGCACCCCCCCTCTTCCCCATGCTTTTTCCCATTGCTTCCTCCTGAAGAGGACAGGGAAAAGCACTTAGAATATGATGGGCGGGGGTGGGGGGCAAAATAATAGGGTATTTGTAATTGCTGCTTTTTTCAGGGGTAATTTCCAACACACAAACAGGATGTTTTAAAATGTGATTTGCAGTAGTCAGGAATTAGGCATATTGTGCCCTTTGTCAAAAGTATAATCATTGCTTGTGCAATGATTCATCAAGCTATATCAACACTGGTAACCAAGACCTAATTACACCACATAATAGATATATTTTTGAAGTTACTGCATGCTTTTATTAGGTCATTGGTTTTAAAAATAACAAACGAGTCCTTACGAAGTATGATTTTATGAATGACCTTCTCGTAAAACTGTGCTTTATCAGTTGCACAATGAATGTATGCCCATTATAAATCCATTCCAAAATCCATTTGGAAACCTTGATCTCAGCTGTGGTTCTACAAGATACATTTGCAGTACATAGGGCCTTTTCTGCCCCCTCCTTTCAGTTTTGTGAGGGATTCATGATGTTTACAGCACAGATAATACTTTGTGCCATAATCCTAACTTAGCTGAAAAAAATTAATTTTAGTTCAATAAATATTTTTTTGCACATACATTCATAAACCAGAGAGGGAAATTACAGTGGGCTAATATAAAGTTGGGAAGGAAGAGAAGGGTAGTCAAAAAATATGATTAAGAATAAGGTGAATGAAAAGGACTTTGAAGCTAAGAACTTTTCAAATTTAACATACTATATTCAGAAATAACACTGAGTTTGCTCCAAGTAGTTCAAGTGATACTGAAGCACTCCTTAGTCTGAAACTAGAACTTTAGGGTGTGCACAACTGAAGAGATGTAAAATCATGTGATTCCCTAGAATGCACCACTGGAAAAATTTTAATAAGACATTCAATTAAGGATTCTACCATCGTTGAGAATTGGATTTTGGAATCTTCCCCTTATTTGGGTAAATATAAACAGCAATAAAAGTGAAATTTGTTCTAATCCTTAAGGATTTTTCCTGGGGTTATAAATTTAGAAATATCCACTTTACACACACACACACACACACACACACACACACACGCTTCAAGCTGTCATTGCATTCTAATTTGGCAGTAATCTCTGGCAGACCTGGAAAAATAAGCTGCACTTAATACCATAATGAAACCAAAGGCATAACACATCATCATAGTTTTCCATCAAAATCATACTTTCACACTCTACGAAGTGTGGCTATGTAATAACACTGATTAAACATCTCTCATACAATAACTGTGGCAAAACTTGAAAACAATGGTGAGAAAGCAGATGGACTTAAAAACATTGACCTGAAAACAGCATCCTTTAAAGCAGGGGTGGGCAAACTTTTTGACTGAGGGCCACAATGGGTTCTTAAACTGGACTCAGAAGAAGGAGCTGCAGCCGTGTTTCCCGACGTTGCCATGTTAACACTGCTGCTGGTGAAGGAGCGGAGGGGAGAGCAAGAGAACCCTCAGCTCTTTCGGCTCCCCGGCCCAGATAGAACAGCCGAACGGGCCGGATCTGGCCCGCGGGCCGTAGTTTGCCCACGGCTGCTTTAAAGGCTTTTGTAACATGTATCTGTCAGTCTCCAATAAAAGTCTATCAGTCCTATTCTGTAATAGTCCATCATCTTTGCCTTTGTATGGTTTCATTATCTCTTTAGTGATAGTGGACCCCACTTGGTACTTAGTAACAATTTAGGGGGAAATCGATATGCTGCTTGGTGTTCTAGCTAAAGGTTTACCAATATTCTTAGTGATATGCTCAAGTGGCAGCAGCTAACTTGGCAGTTGAGAATGAAAGTAGCATGTATAAAAACAGTTTGATGCTTTATTAAAACCATGTAGATGACTTTAAAACTATTGCATGAACATACATCCAGGTTACTAAGCTGCTGTCATACAGTAGATGCATGGTTCCCATCCTTTGGTGATATATCTAGTCATTGTTTTCACCTGCCAGGGAAAATGAGAAACCAGTCTATTTGATACGTATAGAGGGTGGGGTATGACACATCAGATTGATTTAAGGAAGTGTTTTGTATGCGTTCATTTCTGATTGTGCATAAGTTTCATACACCAACATAGGCTGTATTCAGTTTTTAAAATAAGCAAAATCATTGGATACTGATAAATCTGATACATTCAACTGTGTCCCATATATCCATTACTTCTTGTCTGTGACCAGTTTGAATAAGAATTCAGTCAACTTTCAAGGTAAAGGATCTCCTAGTTAGATTGATATATACAGACAATTGGCATATAAATGGTGGGATACAAATTGGATGTTGCCTGCCTGCTGATGGGTGCCTACGCTCTTTGGATCAATTGGTACATTTCTTGTTTCTATTAAAAACTTTTTTTCTTAACACAGACCTAATGACACATTTTATTATTTTTGTTAATCCTCATCTGAGGATATTTTTTCCATTGATTTTTTTTTCAGAGAGAGTGAAAGGGAGGGAGGGAGGAACAGAGGATGCGGGGGAAGAACCATCCATGTGACAGATACATATACATGAATGATTACCTCATGCAGACACCCTCTCGGAGCTGACGCTCTAGCCACCATGTAACGCCAGCCAGGCCAGACACATTTCAAATATTTCACTGTTTTAAAAACTGGGTTTTTGGAGAGCACGTTTACCATTTTGTTAAAGTGCATGGCCCCCTAAATTTTGGAGTAAGTCCTAAAAGTTTATAGAGGACCCAGAAACTTTCTAATAAGCATTGTAAAAATGTTTCAAATTGATAATGACCTTGTTTGGGAGAGGGTAGAGGCAGGGTTTTAAAGAAATAAATGCATTGTAAAAGTAGTTTTTAGAGCAGACTAACGATGGTGGGGGAAGTGTTGCTAATTTGTTTATTTCCCTGAAAGAAATGGGATGTGTGATGAGCAGTTTAATTTTTAAGGAGCTGGTCTCAATTTTAGTATTTTAATTATTCCCTAAAATTTTGTCATTGCTTTGTCCCAGTTATCTAAGGATCATACCCAGCTTTCTGTGGCAACTCAAGTTTTATGTAGTATTTTAAGAGATAATTGTAATGTCTGATGGTATAAACAAAGAATATAAGGTATAGGAATATTGTTCTTTGAAAATATCAACAATGTATCCTGGAATGTGAAGATGTCCCTTTATAGTTAAAACTGATTTATTTTAATACTGTAGTCATTGTTCAGACTTTGAATGAGTTCATGTTACAGTGTGTGTCTGTATATCTGTAGAGAAGGAAAAATGATCACTGAAATGTTACTTTAAAAAAATCACTAAATTAGGCACTGTGTTGCACCACTACTGAATCTTTCTGAGAGAATTAACAGTGTTTTCTTACTGTAAAATTTAATTCTGATGACGTTTTCACATTCACCAGAAATGCATTTTTTCCTATATCATGTGCAACCCCAGATATTTAAAATTAGATTTTGCATGGCATGGGCATTCCCAAATTAATAGAGTGGCTCAATTTTAATTTTTAAAGCCATGAAAAGTTACTTTGAGACTGAACAATTCTGAATTCTTAATGATACCCAATGTCCATGTTTTCCTACTATAAAATAATTTATCCATTTCTTTATTAAAACAGCAAGAACTTATTAAATCTTGTAAATACCATGACTCTTAGATTTCTGTGTATGCTGTGAATCAAATTATTTTGAAGTGAAATTGTACAAAGGCAATTTAAAAGGCTATGCATGCATTGTACCTCCAAACAGTACATATTCGGAAAGTCAATGATTCCTGCAAAATAAATCAATAAACAAAAAGTAAACTTTACATTCTGCATCTTTTCTGTGTAGTTAGAAATGACTTACAGTATCAAACCTGTTCTAGTTCCAACACATATTTTCTGGTCTGAAATATGCTCTCAGAAACCTATTTGGTCACATTTCTGTTCTATTAGAATATGTATTAATGTTAAATTTTGAGGTATTAAATGTACATTACTCTAATTTTAAATTGGGTTAACATATATAAGCAAATTTTATATAAAAGGTAGAATATGTTAGGAACTTACATTATTTACTAATCACAAAAGAAAGTAATATTATCTTTATGTCATTTGTAGCTAATTTTTCAAAGGCAAATAATCACAGAGACCCTGAACCTTGATTTGCTAAGGTTTGGAGTTAACTTCCCAGCTTCTGCACAGAAATTACCACAGATGAATTATAGTAGATAGACTATTCAATGATTAAGACTATGTAGTTATTATAGAAACATCGAACAGACAATCAAACCTCAGAGGGAAGGCAGGGGAGGGAGAAAGGAGGGGTTAGAAATCAACCAAAGGACTTGTATGCATGCATAGTAGCATGACCAATGGACACGGACACTGGAGGCAGGGGAGAGAAAGGAGGGGTTAGAAATCAACCAAAGGACTTGTATGCATGCATATAAGCATAACCAGTGGACACAGACAGTAGGGGAGTGAGGGTATATGCTGGGAAGTGGGAGCGTCTGGGGAGAGGTCAATAGGGGGAAAAGGAGACATATGCAATACTTTCAACAATAAAAAGATAAATCATGTCCTATTGAAAAAAAAAGCAAAATGTATTTCAAGTCAAATTAATTTCTATTAAATTTGTACTGTAAGAAAATGTCCAGACAAGTACAGAAGAATCATAATGATCCTGCATTTATCACCCAACTTCCAAAACTATCCATATATAAGCAATCTTATTTCATCAAGTTCTTATCCACCTATTTTGAAGCAAATCTCAGACATAGCAAGTCATCTAAATTTAACATAAGCACCATATACTCATCACACCTTACAAAATAATGTATTATTAAATATCTAGTGTTAAATTACCAAAGTTTTCTGAGGAACTTTTTACAAGCATATCTAGGGTGTAAATAGAACACTTGAAATTATGTCTCTTACATCTTGAATCTGTTTATATATTTCCCCTCCCTGTCAGAAATCATAAGGATACTTTACCTCATCAACTATTAGTATATGGTTATCTTCCACCACATCTTACAGTAAAGCATAGAAAGATCAAAGATAAATTTAAAAATAGTATAAAAAGCACCTGGTCAGTGTGGTTCAGTGGTTGAGTATTAACCCATGAACCAAGAGGTCACTGTTTCAATTCCCTGTTAGGGCACATACCCAGGTTGTGGGCTCAATCCTCAGTAGGGGGCATGCAGGAGGCAGCTGATCAATGTTTCTATCCTCCCTTTTTAAAATCAATAAAAATATTTTAAAGATAATAAAATTTTAAAAATAGAGACTTGATTTTTTAAAAGTACTATGTATTCCATTTGACCCAGTGATCCCAATTCTGAGAATAAATCCTAAAAACTCCAGAACACCAATTAGAATATATGCACCCTTATGTTCATAGCAGTGTTATTTACAATAGTTAAGATTTGGAAACAGCCCAAGTACTCATCAGTAAATGAATGGATTAAAAAAAAACAAACTGTGGGACGTTTACATAATGCAATACTATGCATCTGTAAAAAAGAGGGATCTCTTTCTTACCCTTTGGGACAGCATAGATGGACCTGGAAAATATGCTCAGTGAAATAAGCCAAACTGAGAAAGACAAATATCACATCACCTCACTTATTTGTGGAATCTAATGAACAAAATTAATTGACTAACAAAATAAGACCCAAAGCAGGGAGGGATGGAACAGACTGAAATACCTCGATGTGGGGTTGGGTAGATAAGAAGAGATAAACCAAGAAACATATACTTACTAAGTGGCTCAGTGCATGAATTCATGCACATTGAAAGGGAATTAATTAGAAGAAATATTTTAATATCACTATTTGCCAAGTCTGGGTACGGGTATCCGGCTCCGTCCTCCCTCCTGTCAGAGTCTGTGATGGCTCCCGGGGGGGATGCTGCATCAAAGCCGGTGCCCCAGGGACACGGGGCTGGTGAGGGGGATGAAAGTGGTAGCCTGGCTCTAAGGAAACCGCCCTGAGCCTCCCTGGGTTACCTCGGGTTCCCTGTGAAAACGGTCAGAGGCAGCAGAGGTGGAAGAAGCTGTCCTGGCTGGCTCTTTGCCTATCACGGCGGCGGGACTGCGGCAAACAGCAGAACATGCCTTGGTGGAAATGCCTCTATCAAATGAGCTGGGCAGGGGCTGTTTTA